CAAATTTCAACAGGAGAGGGTTGAAAAATGCAGATCACTGATTTTAAAAGACATTAACATTCTCTATTTCAGTAACTGAATATATATGTATATATTAAATTGTGTATCGAAATAGAAGATAATTTCAAGGTATAAATTCAGGAAGCAATCACGAAGTTTTAATTGCTTATATATATGAACTGTCCATTTAGTAAAAAATTTGAACGATCTGAATTTGGAAGCCAAATGAAGTAGGACTCTGAATCTTTAGTCCTACTCTCTGATGTTTTTGAAAACTTATCACGTATCATTTGAGCGCGCTGCTATTCGGAGCCATTTACTTGATATAATTAAAAACAATGGGGCAATTTTTGTGTAACTGAGGGCAATAAGTTGAACTCAGCAAAAATATGGCCTTCCACCAGTGCTTGGCACAGAATCAGTTTAAAAAGGGAGGGGGGGGGGTAGATGTACCTCAACTCCAAATTTGGGAACTCTCATTTGTATCTATTTCTTTAAGGGCTTTGAAGCTATTGTTTAGAGAAGAACATACTGCGTATTTAATTTTATGTTGACACTATCATTTTTTAAATGTGTAAATGTAGGCTATAAATTGACCAAATTTACCTTTGATCTTTTCTACTTAATTTTAAATGCTTACAAGTGTTAATCATGAAATTAGCTTTTTTAAAGAGAGGTTCTAATTTCTTTAATAGTTTTGAATATTTCACGATTTTGATGCATAAAATATGGAGCTCAACTGATTAAAAAAATAAATAAATACATAAAATCTCTCCACTAATGCAAATTTTAGAATCTGTCTGAATTATTATTCTCTAGATAACTGCTTTTACTAAAGCCTAGTAGGACACAACAGTCTTTAGTGAATTTGAAACCCAGCTTTGCTTAATTGGAGCATGTTTATTGTAAAATTGAAGATAAGTAGGAGGAGAAAAAGAAAATTAGAACGCAGAATTGAGAACGAAGAGTTGAAGAGATGGTACTGAACCACGATAACCCTGTTTGTAAGAAACAGGAGAAGAAATCGTTCAGAGAGACTTCTGATTTTGTTTCCAACTTTATGTCACACTGAGGAAGTTCAGAGTTAGCAGATCAATGAGTCTTTCTGAGATGTCCTGTACTTCCGGGATGATCTTAATTGGAAAAAGATCAGAGTCTTGTGAATACCATTACTGTAGATTATCCACGTCTTGAGAACAGTTCCTCTTCCGGTCTGTAATATGAGGCTTTATATGTAGAGATTTGAAGCCATAAGTTAATAAATTACATAGAGCCCCATAAAGGAAAAACTAAATATTAAACAAACAAGTTTGAACATTCTGAATTCTCCATGATAGTTGAATTGAATTAAATTTCAACTAGAACCTTCTTCAAACTTTTTTAAAAATTATGTCATTTAGAAATGCATAATTTCATAATGCAATCAGAGAAATTATTTTTTAAAATTTTTGTTCATTTTTTTCAACAATTTAATATTTCTCTCTAAAATAGGTCAGCTCAATCATTCGTGAAGGCAAATAACAAATTCAGTTGGAAAAAATTAAGTAACCTTATTGTAACCCATGAAAAAATTACTGATGATTTTACGCTATTTTTTAAACGCGCAAAAATGCAAGAGGTGTTTAGATAATTAATTAAGATAGCGTAAAAAGGACACGTAATGTGAGGAATCTAATTTTGAAATAGTTCTGCATTCTCAGGTTATCATCTTGAACGCTATGGCTTACAGAATTTTTAGTATAATTGAGCTCCAGATTATAGAGCAAGGTCATATAGACGAACTTCAGATCTATAAACCTATGATTATTTTAAGTACCGGGGTGCGCAATAGACTTACCTTCACGTGGTGCACCCTGTGCAAAGTATAATTATACGGCAAAAATTCTATTAACTGGCAGTTGACTTCTGACTTCAAACTTCTATGGCTCAACTATTTGCCATATTCAACCCCTTTCACAGTACTCATCTTAGCTTTTCTCTGTCTTTGTGTCTGTCTGCCTGTCTCTTTTAAAACTGTAAATCATTTTTCAGTTTCCCTTTCGACCTTTTTTCACTTTGAAGTTCGTTCCTCACCGTGAAGCCTGAATTCAACTAAAGGGCTAATGATAACTATCAAAACGTCTGCCATTTGATATGAATAAATAAATATATCTGTATTCATATTCATTCAATTGACCTGGTATTCGACTTTTTTGCTATTGAAGTCTTTAAAATGAACTTATTCAACAACTGAAAATAGAAACCTTTCACTGATATAGTTTAAAATTACACAGGGATGCACGTTCATTTAGTTCATGAAATATAGGGAATTTTTTGCGTTCCCATTATTAAGTATGGAATATACTATATTCAATTTACCTATTTTTTTGCGAAGTACAATCGGCTTACCACAACAGAACATTATCCATTTGTATGGGCCAAGTACTGCCTTGATTAATTGAGCTTTTCTTAAGTCGTTTATATTGGAAGAAATTTAGTTTTAAAAAGGTAACTTATGACAAAAATATTCAATGTGTAGTATTCCACTTTTACATTTTGTTAAATCTTCAGTTCTTGCATTCATTATACAAGTAGTGGCTTGTTTAAATATTGGCAGATTTGTATTTTTCTTAAAAAAACCTTCAACTTAAAAAGTGAAACATTTAGGCTCTGCCTTTTATTGAATACTTTAAGTACGCATGTTGAATATATGTTTTTAGTAGTTTTCTTCCTCTCGACCTTGTAAAATTGCAGATCTATCTCCTGAAGGAGAAGCGGCTGATAGCAGAAGGATTTGCAAAGCTGTGGGAAGAGGTGCCCCAAGCATATGTTGTAGACTGTGGAAGTAACCTAAGAAACGCTGAAGCGATGGAATCGTCAATACTGGAGTTAGAACAGATGACGAACAGTGCCGTCTTGACATTTCTGCCCTTGCAATGTAACCTCGAACAGCTCGGCGTGTGAGAAGTCTCAGGCAAATCGGTTGATATTTTCGAATATTTCTATTCCCCGATTTTGATAAACTTGAATCCACTGGAAAGTGACGAATGTTAGGTGATTGGTGTCGACGGCGTTGAGGTACGCCCGTCGATATCTTTCTATTTAATGGCTCTGGAAGTGGAGTTCCAGATAGGGCTGATCGCCAGACTGCCTGGAAGTAAGACCATCGTCTTAAGAATTCCAGAGGACCCTTTAAATGATAAAATATATAAGAAAGAAATATGAATACTGTATAGTTTTTCCAAATTATTTAATATTTAGCTCAAAAATTACAATTTTTTTTATAATTAATCCCATGGGCAATACATAGTTTTATGAAACAATAACCAAAATTTGTTTATGAGGCCGTATAAGTAATAATCCGGCAAAAGCCTGCATTTTCTCTTTTTAGAAATGAATTATGCATTTAAAGCAGAGTTTTACAAAATATTTTTTATTAAAAGAAATTGGAATAAATTTCATTTGCACGCATTGTTGTTTCAATGATTTTAAATGGAAAATAATAAGAAAAATTTAGCTTAAATTTATCAATGCAATAGTGAAATATTTTTAGTTAATTATTATTTTTATCCAGAAATTCTTTTAAAGCATTTACTTTGATGTAATGAAAACGATCACAGTAATTCCGCTTTCCTTTACCTATAAGTCATTTTTTCATATGCGTATATAAGCCGTATTATTTTATTACTAATATATTGACAGGGGGACTTATTTAATTAAAGTTCATTGGTTATATTAATTAAAATCTAGCATAAAACTAACTTTACCTGAATAACTAATTTTCCATCGGTTCATCAAAAATAAAATTAATTAAGCAAAAATATGCGGAAAGCCTATAAATTTGCGAAATTCATTTTTTGCTATAAATTCAATTGTAAATGCCCCGCTTTT